AAGGCAGATGCTGTTTTGTGTGGATCATAAACCGCCCTCCATTGAATCTAACAGTTAGAGAGGGGCACTTGTTCACAATGGCAAAATGACAGGGCTCAGCGGTGATCTTAGCTGGTAGAGTGTGAGGGCTTGGCAGTCATCTTTTCAGCTGGCAGTTAGAGGGCTCAGCAGTCATCTTCTCAGCTGATTTTGTTGCTCTGTACTTTGCAGGTCTTTAACTATAGAGAAAGATAGCAGCTGTTTATGGAGGACATTGGAGCATGGCATTCCTTATTAAAGGTGGGACTTATTTCCATTTGTTTGACCTTTGCATGAAGAACTTAGTCATTAATTTTGATTTGACATGGCAAATGACATGATATGAGTGTGGGGATGTGTGGAGGTATACAGGAGGAGCGGACAGGTGTCTGAGGAGCAGGCATGTGCTGACGGACCTGTGTAACCATGATGAACTTTTTGGAGCCGCTGGTCCATAAAACCACCAGAATGTGTTTGGAAAATCCTCCCACTTCTACATTTATGTTGCAAAGAGAGCTCTGAGTTATTCTAAGATGACACCCTGCTTGTAGCTCCTGACTACTACCCTGCTTGTGTAGCCAAAACTCATGTCAGACGGCCCAGAAGCAGCCTGATAGTCTTTCTTTATAGCTCCTTGCTCATTCCAACCCCCCACCCCCCCACCCAACCCCCGTCCCATCCACTTTCCAGTTTCCTCCTAAAAATTACCTTGTTCATCTGTGAATTTTAGAAACTTGTTTATTCAAAACAAGTAATTGCCAGTCAAGAGACTATACTACCATTGCTTAAAGCTAAAAAAATAATTACAGTTAGCTGCAGTGACACTGGGTGGAAGACTAATGCTTGGTAAACATTTTTTTTTATTTTAACTTTCCTCTGGAAAATGAACTGAATGTTTCAAACATGTGGATGTGTGCCAGGCCTGCACAAGTGGTCTCGCATTTTATCCTTGGTCATTAAGACACAGAAACAACAGAAGTATTTTTTTCTTTTCGTCATAAAAATGCCTGCCAACCTATCATATGAATGCTTGCCTGCCTGACATATACTGCTGGGAGGCTTTCCAACCAAAGCCACAGTTCATTAGTAAATATAGTGTCCAGCACTAATACAAAAAGCACAACTTTAAAAGTTTCAGTTCTAAATTCAGAAGTGCAAACAAGGCTAAACAAGTACATTCTACAGGATGTGAGCTGTAAGTCATGGGTGGTTTTAATGCAATGTAAGTAATGTAATGTTTCTTGATTTAATTAGTGACTGGGCTGATACCTGGCAGATTAAATTTAACATAGATAAATGTAAGGTAATCCATGCAGGGAGCAGAAATATAAAGTACAGATATTTTATGGGTTCCACTGAAATAAAGGTAGCTGATTATGAGAAATACCTCGGTGTGTATGTTGATGCTTCCATGTCCCACTCTCGCCAGTGTGGGGAAGCAATTAAAAAGGCCAATAGGATGTTGGGGTATATCTCCAGGTGTGTGGAGTTTAAGTCAAGGGAGGTAATGCTAAGATTATATAATTCCTTGGTGAGACCTCACCTAGAATATTGTGCGCAGGTTTGGTCACCATACCTTAAAAAGGACATTGATGCCATGGAAAAGGTTCAACGTAGGGCTACAAGAATGATTACAGGTCTTAGAGGAATGTCTTATGAGGAGAGGTTAGCTGACCTGAATCTGTTCAGCCTCACGCAAAGGAGATTAAGGGGGGACAGGTCTTGATGCTGTTCAGCCAAATGGTTACTTTAATATTAGATTAAATACTAGAACTTGTGGCCATACGTGGAAATTAGCAGGAAAACATTTTAAACTGAATTTCAGAAAACACTTCTTTACACAGCGTGTAGTTAGAGTATGGAATAGTCTTCCTACTAATGTAGTGCAAGCTAAAACCCTGGGTTCCTTTAAATCAGAGCTAGATAAGATTTTAACAACTCTGAGCTATTAGTTAAGTTCTCCCCAAATGAGCTTGATGGGCTGAATGGCCTCCTCTTGTTTGTAAAATTCTTATGTTCTTATGTCATGTAAAGACTCACTGGCAGGTTAATTTAAAAGGCAGATCTTTCACTGAAATATGTGGCTAGCATACATTAAATGTTCAGCGCAATCTGTATTGTCACGCTCGCAAGCTGGCGAGCCGGGAAGCAGGCGAACAGAGCCGAACTTACGGGCAAAAAGGGTTTAATCTGGGCAGAATGACGACAAACATCCAACATGACATTACACCACAATGACTGATCTGGGGAAGACTGACTGAGACTCGGACTACATACACAAGACTAGGCAGAAGGAACAGGCAACAGGTGAGTACAATCAGGGATTAACACGAGGTAACAAGGTGGGCGTGACACACACGAGGATCGGACGGAGCTGGGCGTGACATGTATAGTCAATGCAGTATTCTGTGCAATTTGTAATTCAGTGCAATATTCAGGGAAATTTGTATATTTTTTATATTTTATTACTCTTTTTATGCATCACATTGAGTCAAATAGCATTTTTCAATTTTGTTGTCCAAGTGACAATGACAATGAAGATTATCTTTATCTTTAAATGTAGCACCTTGGCTGCCATGTTCAGGACATGCTGTGTTGGGTCACTCCTCACCTTGTCAATCTGCAGTCGGCTTATTCATCAGGCAGTAATAAATGCAGTTACAGTGAGACAGTACTCTGCAGTATGCTGTTCAATGACTTGAAGCAATGATTAGAACACCAAAGACTTGAAGCTATGGAGCAGAGAATAATAGCTTGGTCAAAGTTTGTTAATCGCTGTGCTTTTTGCTGGCCGGCCGAAGTAACTGCCCATCTATAAACATCTGTAAAGTTACACCACAGAGTCTCTCAGTGCTATGTATGCACTCTGCGCTCTGTAGGAATTCATAGTTAATGCCTGCATAGATGAAAGGTAATTATGAGGAAGTTGTTTTGTAACACCTGTGAAAAGAAGGTTCCAGATTATTTGCTTAAACATCAATGAATGCATCAGTTTTAAAAATGCCGTGGTTTAACGTTGTGTTGATAGACTTCAGAGGCCCCCCATAAAGAGATAATGTGTGCCCCTGATCTATGAACTACGGGGGCCGATAGGACACCCCCAAAGGAAAGGGCCTTTGGCTCTGTACAGTGTCACTGTAGTATCTCCTAATCTGCTTCCTGTAAGGAGAAGCTGGGGTCTGTTTCTCTCAAACAGACCCCACCCTATTGTACTTATAAAGCAAAGACACACTGAACAGGCACATAGCTTGCAGCTTTTTACAATATACTTTTTGTTTCAACCATTTTTACTTTAGCAACATGACTGACGCATAAGCAACCTCTTTATAAATTTTGGTTTTTATTGTAATTTTCTATTATTTGGAAACAGGCAGCTGCTACGGACAACCCCTGTCATGTGTCCCACTGGTACTGTCATGTCCTGAGGTATTTATTTAGGACCAGCTGCTTTTGAGCTTTTTTTTCTTCCAGGGGTGGGACCCCCCTCCCCTGAGTAAAGGCAGGAGCTTGGGGAGTGTGGCCCCTCTGATTCCAGTTCATGCTCCTTCTCCATTTTGTTCTCTGTTTACTTTAGCTACTCTGTTAAAATGCACTGCTGAACATAACACTCATTCCCTCATTCTGCTCTTTATATGTACCATTCTCCTCCCCCATCTGTCATATAAACAAGCTGCTGATGAGTCATGTCTCATGGAAGGAGGTGATGGAGAGTCAGCCTCTTCCAGTGTGTTACAGTGACCCCTGTGGGTAGCTGCGGTTGTGCCACTCCCAGCCTCGTGTAATCTAGGCTTCAGTCCTATGACTTTGTTCTGGGCATTTGTATGGATAAGCCTCTGTGCATATGAAGGTAGCCATTTCAAGGCCAACCTTGGCAGAATAGTGACATATATGGGCCGTTAAGGCCCTTAACCTCCAGCTCCATGGGTGCCACTACGGGTGGCTGCCCTTTGCTGCCAAACTTTGTCTCACCTACATACATGTCAAAGTGTGTCAGCGTAGCCATTTCAGAACCTCTGCTAAAATCACCCCAGTATTTGCAGCAACCATCCAGTGTAGCCATGTATTTTTAGACTTGGCCACTAGCACACCCCATACAACTAGTCAATCTGTGACTGACTTTTTAAACCAATTAATTTAATTATTTAATTGAGCTGTTGGTGAAATTTAACAAACACATGGAATGGCTGGGGTGCCCCTGAGGAGAGGTTTGGGAACTGAAGCGGTGTTCATCTAGCCATCCAACAAGATATCAGTAACTTTTTAGAAAACAGAAAAAAATATTACTAGTTTTTATTGTTACTCTTAATTTGCATATGTTCTAATGTTAAATTGTGCCAATACACATACTGGCATACAAATATACACACATACATATATATATACACACACATATATATGTATATATATATGTGTGTGTATATATATATATGTGTGTGTATATATATATATATGTATGTGTGTATATATATATATATATATATATATTTGTATGCCAGTATGTGTATTGAATTTATAATATTTGTGTTTTCAGACACCTGTCATTAATGCTGACACATCTTCATGTATGTAGCATGTGCCTAAGTTTAATTTAAACCAGCAGCACTGATAATCTGTAAATCAACCATTTCTACATAAATTTATAGTAAATAGATCATGTTTATGATGCTAGGGCTCCCTCTAGTTGCAGTGTTAACACTTTCGATGTTACTGGTGAATATTCAGGTGAAAATAGCTAACATTTTCTGTTATGCTATTTAATTTTGATCAAAGAAAATAAAAAACATTCCTGTGCTTCTATGCTGCTGTCCTCTGTGTGTTCAGGGCTCACCGGTGACACCATGTCACACAGAGTGCTCCTGGGAGTCCGATGGCTTTGGTAACAAGCAGCTCGACAGGATTCCGTGTGGCAGACACAATGTCCCCTAGCTTGGTATCGCTTTCACGGTCATTTTATTATTTATCATGTTCAGAACAGAAGGATGAGTGGAGCTGGTGGGGGCTCAGTGACACTTCGACACTTTGTGGGACCACTGAGCGGGTCTCCCTTACACTGTCGTGGGCCCAGGGACATTCCGGCACTTTCTGGGACTGCTGCCGGCTCTCCCTCACACTGCTGGGGGCTCAGTGGCATTCCAGCGCTTTCCATGACTGCTGCCAGCTCTCCCTTCCAACAGTGGGATGTTTGCTGCCGCCACCAAGAACTTTGTGAAGCAGGTCGGAGACACAGGCCAGCTGATCCCTGTGCCCAGTCTGAGCGAGGCCGATCGCTACCAGCCACTCAGCCTGGTCACCAAGAGGAAGAGGATGCATTTCTGGAAGAAGACCAAATATGCGCCCACCCCATTCTCTTTAAAAGACATTCTGGTGGGGGACAAGGAGATAATGGCAGGTACTGTGCTGTGTGTGTGTGTGTGTGTGTGTGTGTGTTTGTGTTTGTACCCAGGGGTTTGGTTGTGGTATGCGGGAAATAATTGCTTCGTGGTTGCATATAGCTTAGCTAGCAGATCAGTAGATCAGTCAATTTATCATTGCTACCTTGCTGGTTAGCAGAACATGCAGGTTCAGCTTCTCCTAAATTAGGAATGCATTTATTAAATTATTGATGTGTGACTGTTTGTAGCCAACAGGGGGGCCCCAAACCTCAGGGGGCCCATGCAAATTTGTGGTTTGGGTGGTGATAAACTGCTTTGCTGTGTGTACTTAAGTATCAAAATGGTGAGCATTCATATTACTTTCAGAGGAAATATTTATCCCTGTACATTTCATTATAATATAGTGAGACAGTGAAGCTAAACCACATACAGTAGTATGCATAACCACACTCTCTTTGACACACAGGGGTCTCCTCCTATCAGCTGCTTAACTATGAAGACAAGTCTGATGTGTCCCTGGATGGCCGGCTGAGGAACCACCTGATCAGCGATGTTGGGGTTAACATCAGCGGATCAGACTCTGTGGCAGTTAAAGCCTCCTTTGGGATTGTCACGAAGCATGAAGTGGAGGTTCCAACGCTGCTCAGGGAGCTTGGCTCCAGGTACTCCGTGCCTCCTCTAGTCACAGCCACCACGTGACATGACCTTTTGTAGTATCCAAGGTCTTGGGAGGGGGCATCAATTTGCAAGCTGACCATGTTGTGAAAGTGGAATAACTCTGCATAATTGAAGGACTGGGATTTTCCAACATAATGAACACTAAGACCTACTCCTACAAAGAAAATAATCTGGGGGACTATGTGTTTGATTCAAAATTGAAGATCTTTATTTGTCACATGCACAAAAATAGTGGTACACCAGCTGTAAAATGAAATTGCCACTATAGACTGTTCAATAAACAAGGTACAAGGACAACAAAATTAAATAATGTAAGTTAACAAAATAACTACTAAAATACAGAAATATATAAAAGTATAAAAGTAAAGATAAAGTTATAAATAGGAGAAAATATTTAAAGTGCAAGTTGCAGTTTCACGCTTTTTTAGTTTTTAAATAGGTGGTATTAATGATCCTAATGGCCTGCTCAGCCGCTCAGTCCAGACCATAAGGCACAGCCACGGGAACAGTTTATAGCTTGGGAGGTGTATCTGATAATGCAGATTATGGCGGACCTACTTTGTTGGATGCAGATGTCCTGCACAGTGGGCAGTGTTGTCTTGGTGATTCACTTGGTGCACCACACTGCCCTCTGCAGGGCTCTCCCCTCCCCTCCCCAGATCCCCACCAATTCAAACACTTGACCTTTTCTTTGTACTGCATGGGTGCTGGTGCGTAAAGGCTCACAGCAGTAATTGAGTTCATGTCAGTTGCCCAAAATGTGTAACCTCTTCAAATGCAAATGTTTCACTTCAGGAAAGTGGATCTAGACCACTGTCTTATCCGCCAATCAAAGGAGAGTGGGCGGGCCATTCTGTGTGTCGTCATGGAGAGCATCCGCACGACTCGACAGTGTTCCCTCACTGTGCATGCGGGAATGCGGGGGAAGACTATGAGGGTGACTACTCACAAACACTGAGCAAGTTTCCACTTCCTGCTGCCACCTGTGATTGGTTGGTTACATTTCTTGCATCAGTTTCAGATTGATGATGACCGCAAACCAAAGGGCCGTGATAAGGCCATAGTGATACCAGCACATACAACAATCGCATACAGCATATTTGAGCTTTTTGTAAGACTGGATGGGACACTGGGTAAGCATTTCCTGGACAAGCTGTGTACACATACTATTCTCTATGAATTACCTACAGGGTACTCAAATCTATAACCAAAAATACACAGCATGATATGATGTGCCAAGTAACTAGACAGCTAATGGACATGCAATCACACAGATGTTTTTGTCCCATATGCCGTGTTGTTAAGACCTTTGCGTAACATCCGAGTCCCCTGGTGGCTTTGAGAAGGAGCAAATTCGAGAGCAGCTGGGTGGCTTCATCAGCCGCCTGTCCTTTGGACGCCTGAGAAGGTTCTTCTCAGGCATGGTGTACGGAAACCCCTTCAGAGCAGGTCGGGCCCAGAAACCACTTCTCATGTTTGACTGTTTACGGACTGACTGTTTGTCTTGATGAGGGAAAATGACAGCCATTTTCTCCTCATGTCAAGATGACAGGACATTTGTGGAGGTAGCCCACTCTGACATGTACATGGAGGACCTTGTGGCAGACTACTATGAGAAGGCGGCGAGCATGACAGACATCTCCACAGGCTACCTACGGGAAGGCTCTCACACCCGCATCAACCTGCTAAACCACAACATCCCCAAGGGCCCATGTGCGCTCTGTGGCATGGGCCAGCAACGGCGGGAGACTGTCTATGGCTGCCTTGAGTGCTCCTCCAATGGACAGAAATACATCCGATTGCACGTGGTGCCCTGTTTTGACCTGTGGCACAAGACCACCAGGTGAATACAGGGTATTGCCTCAGCTCTACTGAGTGACAGCCACTGGGTGATGCTGACAAAGCAGGCTTCTGTAAAACACAGTTACGAGAAGCTTGAGGTGCACCGGAGTTCAGTGCTGCAGACAGGTTGGTGCTAATTAGCTTCCAGATGGTCTCCATGGTGGTCTGCATAATTCAGTCAGACCTAGCAACGCAAGCCAGTGAAGCATTTTATATGTCACATTTAGTGAACCCCAATAAAGATTTTTCACATTCTGTTTCTCATTAAATTCCTGGGTTTTAAAGCAAAAAAAACGATTTATTTATGTACAAAAGTCTATTTATCAGTCATGGATTTTGGAACTCCAAAATACAGTTCAGATGCTCTTTAAAACGAGAACCACATGATAAAACTCCATTACATACAACATTACATAACCCCTTTGTGATACATGAACAACAACAAAAATAACTAAAGGAACCAAAGAGAAAAAATGTGTTGGCATTTATTTGTTGAGGTATTGAGCTTTGGGGCAGTTTTTGTTAGAAAATCATCATGTGCCTCGGGCTAGGGGAGACTCAGAGGATGCTAGAATTCGTCATGCTGGTAAACATTGTACTCCTTTGCAGATATCTCTCCATCTCCATCATGATCACTCTTGCGAAATAAATCAGCAATAATAGCATCATAAAATTTTTCTTCTTGCTGTCTGCCGTCCTTCTCGTAACTTTGCTTTAAGTGCTTCCTCACCTGTCAGTAAATGGCATGATTAGAACAGGCCTGCGGAGATAAATTTCCGTCACACCACAGGCTGATCTGTACACGAAGCACAACTTACAGCCAGAAACACAGTACCTCATCTTTACTGAGGCTCCTGTCCATGTCCACGTCTATTTCCATGAAGCCCTCCTTGCTGCGCGGTCCTCTGGACACAGAATAAACCTCCACTTCAAATATCACTGTGGCGTTTGGGGGAATCAACGGGTCTGATAGCATGGGGATTGAGAAGAAGCAGTAAATATCCGCAAGCAATAACTGCTGCAGGTTGAAGGGTCACACACAACATATGACTGTGTGCTACAGCGCTGCTATCAAGATGACCCAATACTCATTCATCAGTTTAACATGCATCCATTCACCGCTCCCTCATCTATATAAGTTTAATGTAGACAAAAAAGAAAGATAGGAACCTTTGGCTTTTTGAACAAGGACACTTAAACATGTTTTAGGATATTAAATATTTGTTTTTTTATCCTGATTGTTAACAAATGTGGAAGAATAGCAAAACAAACACTTGTTGGATAACACACATGACGAACTGATGCAGTAACTTGGTGTTTCAGAGGCCTGTATCACAAAGCAGAATTTCTTGCTTAGCTGGATAACTGGCTGGATTTAGGATTCAAAGGTTTTTATTTGTCACATGCAAGGTATACAGTCCAACTGTAACCTACAATGAAATCAAAGGTGGCCAACTCTGTCATAATAAAAAGAATGAAAGGCAGTAAAATAAAGTTATGGTACAATAAATATGTTATAAATAAGGAACAGTAAAGTTATATATGTAATAACAGAAAAGGAAAAACAGATATGTGTAACATTTCCAAAAAAAGTACATGGTACATGAGTAAGGAGTGAGTGTTTAATTAGTGTTAAGTAGTATAATGGCCTAAAGATAGAAGCCCCTTGTGAAACTCTTAGTTCTCACTGAGTGACAGCAGAAGCACTTTCCAGACCTTAGTGGCAGTTGTTTGGGTGGGTCGTGTCCCTGCTGATTTTGGCTGATCTGCTTCAGTATCATCTGAGGTATATGTCCTGCAGGGAGGGCAGATCAGCCCTGCTGATGCTTTCAGCTGAATATGCCACCTTCTGCTCTCAACAGAAAGCTGATTATTTTATCTGAACTGTGTTTGGTCACAATTGTGCATGTACAAGCAGTCCAGCCGTGGGCTCAGAACACAGCCTTGTGGGGTGCCAGTACTCAAGGTAATAGTCTGCGCCAAATGTAAGTAAATGAAGTCCATTTAAACTAGGGTACTTTAAATCTGACAAGTTATCCGGCTAAGCAAGAATGAGTTTACTTGAGTCTGTGTATGATAATGCCCACTGAAGCGTGGTCTCGCAGAACAAAAAAAATGATCAGAGCCATTATCAGAGGATTGCCATGGAAACAGACACCAAAAAGAGTACTGCTCCCTGCTTTGGCACAGTAGGAAATGGAAATATTAACATCTGCATATGCAGAGTATGAATTAATTGTAAAGAAAAAGAAACAGCAAAGGAGAGACAGAGAGACGACGTGGCAAAAAACTACAACTATGTCAACAAGTAGATCACTATAATTTTAAGATTCATCAGACCAAAGTGGTCAAAAACAATATCTAATATAATGGATGAAATATTTTAGATGAATGGTTCATTCTATGTACATTGTGTTTCATATATATACGGGAATATATTTAATGTAGTTGCAATTCATTTGGAACCAAAAGTTCTTAGCAGCAATTTAGAAACATAATTCAAAATGGTAGGAATATTATTGTGTATTTGTAATTAATCCCAGAATATGTAACATATATAACTGTAGACTGTGGCTGATGGTTAATATTCATTATTATATAATGATGGGTGGATAGATGGATGGATGGATGGAATGGGGGGAGGCGTTGGTGATGTTTGTCCTCCAGTACTTTTAACAAAATCAACATTGACTTTTACATGCAATCACTGCAACGCATACGTGTATGCCAGAATAAGCAAAAATACTAATAAGTATTGTCTATTCATCTTTATTAAATTACCACTAGTACTGAGAACTTCATATATTTTGTCCTTGTAGCTGCTAAATACCAGGGTTGGACCTATTCCAGAATGCATTCATCAATTCCAATCAAAATCAGGAAATGGAGTTGGGAATTGAAAAAAACTACGAGGAACAGAATTGGAATTCAATTCAAATTTCAAGGAGTTCCATTTCCTGATTTAGATTGGAATTGATGAATGCATTCCACTAAGTACACTTATTATTAAAGCCATAAAGTTGTCTGGCTGCTACCTTAAAATGTCCACTGAATAAATGTTTGAGAAAATGTTTAGGCTAAAATCTGGGATATTCTATGCTGATCAATGGTGCCAGTGTGTTTGTGTGTGTTTGCGCACATTTGGCTTGTTGGGACCAGTGTTATTATCATAAACTAAAACTAAATTGAAAACAAACACTAAATAAAAGAAAATAATTTGTGAGCCGAAATAATGAAAACTATATTTACAAAAAAAAGTGTGTCAGACTTTAATCAGCAAAAAAGCGGTGCCACATCACCAATATCTTTTTACCTTGTTTAGCCACAATATCTCCTGTTTTAGAAGATGATGTGGTTGCTGAACTGTCCCTTTCTTGACTCCAGTTCTTATCTCTTCCATGATTTACCAAAACAGTTGCAAGTGGCGTGCTCTGTTAACTGAATTTAATAAGTATACGCCAAATTTATACAGATTATTAACTGCTGGGTGTCACAATACGCATCTCATTAATATTTTAGACATACTACTAATTTGCTTATCAAATTGTGAGCGGAAAATAATGTCTGCATAGTGCCCATAAGCTGGCGTCTAGTGTTAATTTCGTCAGACGAGACGAGACGAAATATGTTCGTCAACGACCTTTTTTTTCATGACTAAGACGAGACGATGACAAGACTGCACCACTGTCCAAAAACGCAGACTAAGACTAAATTAACATGGATTATTGTTGACGAAAAAAGACGAGACGAAAATGTTTTGCATAAAATAAAAACTAAAATAAAATCTCTCTTCATTTTCGTCTACAATCGTCTCTGCTTTTTCATCAGCTGTTACGGCTTTAAAATATTCAGAACGATTTCGCGGCTTCGCGCTGTTGCTCAAGTTACAGGTCTCATACTCCTGCTGAACACACAACACACAAAGCGAACACGAGCGACGACGACATGCTAGGTCGAAGGAAGAGGCTCGATATTTGGTCGCATTTTAAGTACAATGATACTGACAAAAAGTCAGAATGTGTCATCATAACTGACGGGAAACACTTTCGGGGAAAAACACCACCAACCTTAAACGACATCTTTGTAACTTAAGTTGTCAGTCGGAGTCTGTTGGGACCCAGCTTTTGAATTGTGTTGGTTAAAATAAAATGCTCTTCGGAACAGGTTAATCATTTGTGAATGTGTCTCCTAAATCAGAAATTGAAAACCAGACACGTTTAACATTTGCATTCAACAAAAATCATTCAACAAGTGTATTTTGTCAGGTAATTATGACATTTAACCAATGTTTGAGATATGTGAAACACTTTTTTTTTTACTGAAATGTGTATCAGTAATAATCTCAGTAATAATGTGTTATTTTAAAAAAGACTACAATTTTTTGACTAAAGCTAGACTAAAATTAAAAGACTTTTAGTCGACTAAAACTTGACCAGGATACCTTGAGTTTTCTTTTGACTAAAACTAGACTAAAATGACGAGACTTTTAGTCGACTAAAACTTGACTAACAAAAAAAGATAGGCCTATGTGAATGACTAAATATGACTAAAACTAACAAGGACATTTGGCACAAGACTAAGACTAAATTAAAAATAGGTGACGAAATTAACATTACTGGCGTCCATTATCTAAATCCCTGCAATAGTTTGTTGTTGTCAAAATAAAATTAACTTAAGTTAACAGTCTATTTGATCTTCTGGGGAATTAATCATTTATATAAATCGACCAATTGGTAAAATAGTCGACAGATTAATCCAGTCATTAGTGGCAGTCATCATCTCCAGCTGAAGCATATTACTATGAAAAGAATTTTTTTTAAAAACTGACGTGCTGTAATACCAGTTAAAAGTTCATTTTGTGGTTGTCAAAAGATGGATGATTCTTAATTCCTTTGAAATGACCAAGAAGTTTGTGTGTGCCATTTTTATGTGCAGGCAATAAAGGATCTCAATTTAAGCTATGAATAGAAAAGTTATGTACCCTGTGCAGATTTGTCATTTCCTATAAATCCACGAGTCATGCACAGAGCCTGGCCATTTTACTCGGACATTGAAGCTCATTTGCATGATCTTAACAGTGGACACAGGCAGGCCTTAAGTTACAATACACTGGGAAATAGAACTTTGAAATGAAATATAGTGTTCTGACACTACCTGCACATTAATGCTGTTTAAAGGTTACCTGCTCACATAATATCCTTCATTTACTAGTTCATTACAGTAATGGGAATGCAAATTCCACTTAGGCATTCAGTTGTATTAGTGAATGCTGCAATATTTAGACACACATGTATTCATTGTCATGAATCCTTCAGTACTGTCACCAATAAACAATTCTGTAATAAATTACAAACCTGCAACTTACTGGAACTATCCTGTAGATCAGCGGTCACTAACAGGCGGATCGCGGTCCGGACCCAGAAGCTGTCCCATACGCAGTGGTGGAATGTAACAAAGTATTTATACTTCGTTACTGTACTTAAGTACATTTTTATGTATCTGTACTTTACTTAAGTAAAAATAATAATGCATACTTTTTATTTTACTCCATTACATTTTGCGGCAATTATCTGTACTTTCTACTCCACTACATTTCTACAATTTATGCCGTTACTCGTTGCATTTTCTGAACGTGATTTCCTCAAAATCTTGCATGAAAAAATAGTTAGCCTATTGCGTTCTGGCGTTGTTTGCCATTTCCTACCAATCAGGTGGCTTTATTAGCTCCAATGATGGCAGAGCGCGCGTCAATTGGCAGCAGGAGCTGGTAGACTGGCTGGATTTCAAGAAGACGAGACGTTCAACATGGCGTCACACCACCACTAGTGTTTGGTTACTGTTGTGTTTCCCTTTTACTGCTCTTAACAGATGTGTTGAATAGTTTTGCAAGTACATAAATGATTTAAAGATGTATCATGTCCTGATTGGTTTATGTTAATGGTATATTAGTGGGTAATACCTAGTAGATAACTTGTCATCCACATAATTCTAAGTTAGGGTACACACAGTATTGCAGAGTATTGCAATAAGCACACCCAGTTTTCCAATACACATATACTGTATAGTTGCTAGTAATTATTACGAGCAATGACATCGGTAGAGGCGTAAGTTAGTATATCTACTATTCTTTTACAAAATGGCACACCCGAGACGTTGAGACAAACCATTGTGTGAGTACTTTTACTTAAAAAATACTTTAAAGTAAATTTAAAAGTAATTACTTAGTACTTTCACTTAAGTAAGATTGTTGATGTAGCACTTCTACTTTTACTTGAGTACATATTTTGCAGGATATTTGTACTTTTACTTAAGTACTAAGCTTCAGTACTTCTTCCACCACTGCCCATACGGACCCGGACCCACAGCCAAAACATTTAGTTATTATTTAAAACCTGACGGTTTTTTATTTTAACCGGCGCAGCGTTTGTAGTCTTTTCGGTAGTGGTTTAGCAGTAGAACCGCCGTTTCCCACGCCAATGAACGCGAAACGCCTTTGACCGCCAAGCAAGACGTATAGTTCGGCGTATGCAGCCCTTTGTCTGCGCTAATGTGCCTTTCATGTTATTAGCAGCAGCGAAGCTAACACCCGCAAACTAAAAGCGTAATGTTTCTAACAGAGTGGCTGCACTCTCCTGAAATTGTAAAGCTGAAAAGTTTTCAAATACAATATGTATTATATAACACGTTGGATAAATAGACGTAGCTAGTTTATTGTTGATTTCATGTTCGTTGAAGTTTCTGCATTTTAACATATGTATAAAGTAATGTTATCTGTTATATAAATAAACTCATGTGAAACAAAAAATGCACGTTTTCAGGGTTGCCAAATCTCAAGCATCTGGCATGACACTCAGGCTTTCAGACTCATGCTGGACATCTTACAGCAAATCTATATTATTCCATTATAAAACCTAAAATTAGCTACGTCAAAAGTGTATTTACATCGTTAAATACAAAAGCAGACTATTTACAAGGTAAGAACTGTTACATGTGTGCAGACATCTCGAATTGAAAATCTCACTCCAGCCAGCTGGCATAAGTTCTATGTCACGTGACAATAAATGTCAAAACGATTTTGAATTGTACTGAATTAATTTTATTTGACAGTCAGGTACTGATTACATAGAATGTTGATGCAACTAATAGGCTACTTAAATATATATCACACTATTAAATAGTTATACATTATAATCTTCCGGACATTTGCTTCAAGATTTTTTCTCTAACTGGACCTCTTTAAATTTTAGTTGAATACCCCTGCTGTAGATTTTGAGTGCTCAACATAAACAGGGTAGCCAACTCTCACGCATCTGGCGTGACACCCAGGGGGTGATCCAAGTGGAACGTTCAGCTATTTAATAAATCATGTACTGGGATAAGAAAAGGTACCATAAGCGAAGATATTCACCAGAGAATACCTGATTGTCTAGCTCGAGAAAAAAATTCCGCTCCTATGTCGACCGTAGCTTGGCGCAAATGCCAGATGAAATCGTGCATAAACACAAGCTAACTTCACCATGTAACTTAAGTTATTCCCTATTATGTCAATCGCGTTGGAGCAAATTCTTAGGTCCCATGTGTGAAGGTATTTCAATGAAATACATACCTTTGCCCTTCTCACCGTAAGCCAGCGACGGAGGGATGGTGATTTTGCGTTTCTCCCCTGCACACATGCCCATCATACCCATGTCAAGGCCTCTGATGATCTGTCCGACTCCGAGGATGAACCACTGGGGATGGCCAGCTTTATCCGACCGGCTGCAAAACATCATGGAAATGCAAAAGGCATGTAAGAGCGGCAGGTTGTTATTTAATAAATCACATTATGCCATCGAGTGTCCTCTCTGCTCTCCACTCGCCTGCAGTAAAATTTGGTCCCGTCCTGCGCCAGGTATCCGTCATAATGCGCATTCATCAGGTCGCCTCTGCGGCTTTTCCGTGTACAGTCCTCGGGTATGAAAAGCACCTCGATCTGAACCTCGTCCAAGCCCCCGCCGGCGGCTGCGGGATCCCCCCAGGAGCTGCAGAGCTGCAGGTACAGAAAGAGACACATGAACACGGCCATCACGACGACGCCAGCGTGGCAAGGAATGACGTGTGGCCTCAGATCCAGCCCCCCCGGCACTGAGCAAAACGCCCAGTCGCACTGACACATCACTGAACGGTTAACACTAACATTCCCGAACAAACTTTTTGCTGATGTATTTTGGAAGATAACATTCCTGTTAATATTCATTGGCGTACACAAATTAAAGTTTGTTTTTAGATCACCGCATTTTGTTTTTAATGATAACCGCAGGTTTCAGCCTATATTCATATATATACTATAGCACAAAACAACACTAAATCATACCCATTAATTGATAGTCTCCCTGCACTTCATGTAGAAAATTTAAAACCTCGTTTTTCATGAGATAGTTAGATTTTTTTCTCCGGCGCTGCAAAACGTTGTGACGCGTCACCATGTCACACGGTACAAGAACCTTGCAAGAGCAAGACGACTATGGCAAGCCGTTTTAACATTTAATCAAGTCACACTCCTATCCCGTAATTACATTTTAGATATACATAATATAATTTCTCCTAGTCAAAATTATATTCGTACTAGTCAGAATGGCAATTACAGATATCCTATGGCAAGCCGTTTTAACATTTAATCAAGTCACACTCCTATCCGTAATTACATTTTAGATATACATAATATAATTTCTCCTAGTCAAAATTATATTCGTACTAGTCAGAATGGCAATTACAGATATCCTATGGCAAGCCGTTTTAACATTTAATCAAGTCACACTCCTATCCGTAATTACATTTTAGATATACATAATATAATTTCTCCTAGTCAA